CACAGGTACGCACCTACGCACGTACACACCTACGCACGTACACACAGACGCACGTACACACGTACACACGTACGCACGTACACACGTACACACCTACGCACGTACGCACATACACACCTACGCATGTACGTACGTACACACGTACGCACGGGCATTGTCAAAACTGTGCAGTGGAACTGAAATGAAGTTCAACACAAGCGACGGTCGCAGATCTCGGGCACAATTCTATTCCTGCCACCTGAAGACCAGGCGACAGGTTTTGCCGGACTGCTCAGGCTCAAGCTTGGACAGGGCACGGTCCTGGACAGGACACCAATAATAATTTGCCTGCATTTAAAAATCAATTACTCGAATATGTTACCGTTAGGTCCCATCAGCCTGTTAGCAAAGGACAATAGCGACCATTGACTGACGTCGAAGACAAAAATCGACAACAGTTTGGATCAGCTTTTGACAAGCAACGTGAATAATTAGAATATGAGAGATATATTCAAGGATAGTAGATACAACTAAAGCCGTGCGTAACTAAGATGCATGCCGTAAGTGGTGTTTGTGGAATAAATATCTGAGTATGTCATGAATGCGGATGAGTTAATGGAACAAATGAGATAAGAGGTGGCTGCCAAAGTACGGAAATGGATCATTTTACTCGTATTGTGGAAGCTGAATTTTTAATGTCCACATTTTTTTTTCATATAGAGGATGCAATTCGGTTGGAAATAATAATGCACTTAAACAAAATATAGAGAACACAATTGAATTGTTGATATCTTGTTTCACCAACATAGGTGGGGTTCTGGAGGCCAAGGGGAGGGACAGAGTGCCAAGAGCAAGTTGGGGGGGCGGGGGGCGGGAGATGTGAAACGAAGCCCACAGATTGCCACGGGAAGCCAGCCAGCTTCGTTTGTGAAACGTGCAACAATTATTCTTGAGTGGCATTTGAAAGTTCGTTTTTAAATCCTTTATATTAAGTTCACTTGCTTGCTTGCTTGCGCGCTTACGACCGTGCAAATCTTTCGGTCGTTTTTTAACCCACTTCCCGTGATCCAATCGAGCTGACATTTTGCACGCAGACTCGTTGTGCGTGACAATTTCTTTTCGTGAAAATTTTTCCCCAAAATTTTACACTTTTTAGGTAAATTTTTTTTTATATTTAATTGGTGGCAGGGAATCATCTGACCCATAGGTGGCAGCCATCTCAAGCCAGAGGATGAGAGGACTCTAGCCGCCCATTTCAAAGACCAATGTGGGCTGGGTTGTGGCCCATTGAACACGCATATAAAGGATTTATAGTGAAAAACTTTGTTTTTACGGGGTAATTTTTTTGTTGTTCTTGCACTGCAGCTTCACGGTGATATCTTCACCGCTGTTCGGTGGTGAACGGCGGACGCCCATGCGCGTATTGTTATTGCTGAGTTTTATTCCTGCACGTGTTCCTCATGGTGTAAGAGCTCTCCGTGCGTGGACTTGCACGAAGGCAATTGTTGAGCGTCTTAACGGTGTCCTGCACTTGCTCTCGCGCGGATTTGTTTTTGGACGAATGTCAGCTGTTCTGGGATTTGTGTTCCTTGATAACCTTCACGGGCAGTCCTCAAAGGAACGATGTTGCTGTTCAGCACGCACGGCCGACAACTCTGGCGGTGGGGGGAAAAATTCACAGACATCTCGTGGTGTCTCAACGCTGGTGGAAATGTTTTCGGTGTCTCCTGCAGGCAAAACTGGTCGCTCTTCTCGAGTGTACACGTTTTTGCATGTAAACAATTCATGCGATTCACAAGTTTTGGCAGAAGGCGATTGAAGAATGGCAGAGTGCTTTGTTTTGGCACAATAAAACAACAAAAAGCAGGATTGGCATTGGGACTAGATTCCCACGAGGTCGATTTGAGCCCCAGATCGCACGGTGGGGGTCATATAATTAAGCCACATTCACACAACTGGACAGAGCCACCAGTGGAGGCAAGATTTGTGATCTGCCAGACGCAAGCAAAGCATGGCAGAGAACGTGTCTTCAATACGCGCATTTCGTGTTCCCAAGTTGACACTCATAAATCTGTTCTTTTTTTTGGAATGCATAAAGCATCACGAGGCTAAATAATTGGCACCTCCCTGTGCAGGGGATATGGAACGTTGTGATTCACAACCTGAAAATCCGCCAGCCAAGGGGCTGACAGATCCAGGGGTGGAGGATTGAATTCGAGCTTAATTAGTGGGGGCATAGCTCACTATTCAGAAGAAGAGAGGCCAAGTGAGACTATAGTCGGCAAGAGGAGAGGAGAGAGAAGGCCCTGAACGTTTGTTGCCGGCGTAAGCGAAATAAAATCAATCGCAAGAGAGGACGGAGCGCAGAGGGAGAGCCAGCGAGACAGCATGCACACTGGAAACAGTGAGAGCAGAGAGAGCAAAGGGAGAGAGAGAGAGAGCAGTGGCTCCAAAACCAGAGTGACAGCAGACTGGGACAGAGGCTGAGAGAACACAGAGACAACTGTTACCAAGAAATAGAGAAGCAGAGAAGTTGTTAAGGGTGTGGAGACGAAATTCACGACGGTCACATTGGTAATAGTGCCTTTTCCTTTTTGAGTCTCATCGAGCCAAACTAAGGCACCATTAGGATTCGTAGGATAATATGCAAAAGATTTCATAAAAAGGAATTGGCCAAACATCCCAATGTTGGACTCTCCTTGAGACTCGGCAAGGATTTCCTGGATAAACGCGAACTCCGGGTGATCCTCGCAGCAACGGCCTTGGGCTAACAGATCGGACAAAGACGGACACCGGATCGCGCGGCGCTTTCAGATGGCGCTTCTGCGGCCGTCTGGAACGCCCTTGTCCTCCGATATTAGGAAGCCGCTGGGGAGCTCTGCGCTGTTAAATCGTCTAGATTAGAAATCTATCTCTTTAGAACGGCTTCTTTGCGTTTAGTTCGTTGTCCTTCCCCCGCACCACCGACTAGCACGGTTGGCTACGTACGGTGCGAAAGAAGTTCAACGTACGTACACACATTATTATTATTACTACAACGATTCAGGAAGCTGCCGGGGTGCAGTGGACTTCCAGAAGTCGCCGGTCCGGTGCAAGTTTATGAAATCCCCCCTCTCCCCCCCACCGTTTCGCCTGCGTCCACCCAACAGAGTAAATGGGTACACACACAACGCAGTTAGTCGATCGCCAGGCTGCGCGCGTGTGGGGTAAAATCTTGGCACGGCCACTCTTTATCCTCCAACACGTCTGGTCCGCGTGGAAGAGCAGGCCAAGTGTCCCCCTCCTCCCCCTCCCCCCCCCGAAAGTTCACTCCCACTTCACATTTTAAAACTGTTCTGATAATATTCGTGCCAAGTGTCACTGGCCCTGCTGGCACCATGGACACCTCTCTGGATGCGTCGCTTGCGCTGCGATTGGCTCACGGCACCGGGACGTGCCGGCATTAAACGACGCTCACGGTCCCCCGGAAATTGTTCTTGCGCCGATTTCTCTTTTCCGTTTCGTGTAATGGCACCTTTTTTTTAGCTTTTGTCATTTCCGTGAACCCGGGGTTTTAGTCTCGTGAAATGAGGCCCCCCCCCCTATGTTGGACGTCTGCGAAAAAAAAAAGATCTTCATGGCTCATCGGATTCCTCCAGTCTAAGTAAAGTTTCCGATTCGTCGGAGTTCTCGCTAGGTCACAACAACATTTAGCTGGAGGGTTGAACGTGGCCCCTAGGTTTGGTTTGCAGACACCCGGGCGGGTAACCCCCAGTTGGATCCACACAATGTGCTTGGAAGGAAGCAGCAGACCTGGCAGAAGTCTGCCACTTTGTAGGCGGCATCATTATTAATAATAAAGGTTTTTTCTGGGGTTAGATCGCGTCTATTTAAATGTGTCGTTAAACCCGCCACTGCCCCGACACAGCCAATTCGTAAGGTTTGTCACGTAAACAAAACGTGAAAATTCGTTACTAGTTCAGCACTAACCGGTGTGCCGTAGGGTAAACCCGCAACAGTTACAATTCGAGTACCACGTTTCGCTGGTGATTACAAGATCCAGCTTCATCAGGCGATCGGCAGTATTGTGAAAGAAAGTCCTCCTATTTCAGTGGCGGATTTAAAGGCACATTTATATTTATGCGATCTAACCCAAAATGACATTTATATTATGGATTTTATTGGTCGCGAAAGCCTACGTGTGAAACCTGCATTATTATTTCAGTATTTAAAAATCTGCCAAATATCCACCCAAAGATGTGAGCCGTTTGAATCGCAATATAGCTTTGTGTTTTAAGGTTGGAAAACAAATAACGGAATACACCGTTACTTTGTGTAATTAACGGTCAACAAAACGAGTCATTTCTGTTTTCGTGCAGAGGATTAGTTTAGTGATAGCTAAGTTAGTTTTAATGTAAAGGTCATGATATCATGGCCAGGAAGAACGTAGTCTCAACCTCATTTGTGTTGAGTCTCAAAAAGAAAAAAAACAGAGGCAGGTTAAAACTGGTTAGTGCAGTCGATTGTACAACAAATTTCAGTGTAGTAACGACGTCGTGAAGAACGGAACGTAACCTTTGTTCACGTTGTTGCGAATTTTACCCAACGTATGCTGGACCTAACGTGTGCATGGAACTCACAAACGTGTGTGTGCGTGCTCCCACGTGACACCAGACTGGAGTGGCGGCTACAGCAGACCAAAGCAACGCGTCGACTTCAAAACTCAAAACGGACTTTCATTAAAAAAAAAGTAAAATAAAATCGCGGGGCAGGATTGTGGTTGTTTTGTGGTTTGTGTGCGCGAGCTTGAAACCTGCGTTCGATCCTACTGATGCACGCGCACGTGTGCGTGCGCACATGTGTGCGCGTCCTAGCGTGCGTGCGTGTGTGTGTGTGTGGTGCGTGCCTTTCCGTAGCAGTGCGTGTCCGTGCGCGCGTCCTCCTACGTCCGCGCGCGCAAAACGGTCCTGCCAATGTCGTCTGCTGGCCCTATCCGACGCACGAGCTGCGTCACTCTACGTGGACTTCCCCACTCTGGGGGGGGGGTGGGGGGCTGGGGGAGGGGGGGCATGAAGCTCGCGTGATGCTGCTGCTGCTGCTGGCTGCGTGCGTGGTCCGTGTGTTCGTGCGTGCGCGTGTTACGCCGTCATACGCGTGCATCGCCAGTCGCGGGTCCGTGCGCGCGCGCGCTCGCTCGCTCGCCCCCAGGAGCCGCCCGCCCCTAGTGCTGCTTCTTGGTGCGCCTCCCAACGCTGCGGTGGTAGAAGCAGGCGACGAGCGTGAAGAGGGCGCGCGAGCTCAGCAGCAGGGCCAGGTTTTCCGGAGCGGTGCCCCGCTCCCACACGGCAAACACCGTCACTGCCGGGTGGGACGACGACGGCGAGGGAGAGCGGGAGAGAGAGCGGGAGAGCGGGAGAGAGAGCGGGAGAGCGGGAGAGAGCGGGAGAGAGAGCGGGAGAGTGGGGGAGAGAGAGCGGGAGAGGGAGAGAGAGCGGGAGAGTGGGGGAGAGAGAGCGGGAGAGAGAGCGGGAGAGAGAGCGGGAGAGAGAGCGGGAGAGTGGGGGAGAGTGGGGGAGAGAGAGCGGAGAGAGAGCGGAGAGAGAGCGGGAGGAGAGCGGGAGAGAGAGCGGGAGAGTGAGAGCGGGAGAGAGCGGGAGAGAGAGCGGGAGAGAGCGGGAGAGAGAGAGTGGGAGAGAGAGCGGGAGAGAGAGCGGGAGAGAGCGGAGAGTGGGGGGAGAGAGAGAGGGGAGAGAGAGGAGAGCGGGAGAGTGGGGAGATAGAGCGGGAGAGAGAGCGGGAGAGAGCGGGGAGAGAGCGGGAGAGAGAGCGGGGAGAGAGAGAGCGGAGAGAGCGGAGAGAGAGCGGAGAGTGGGGGAGAGAGAGCGGGAGAGAGAGCGGGAGAGTGGGGGAGAGAGAGGGGGAGAGCGAGCGGGAGAGAGAGCGGGAGAGAGAGCGGGAGAGTGGGGAGAGAGAGCGGGAGAGAGAGCGGGAGAGAGCGGGAGAGAGAGGGGAGAGAGAGCGGGAGGAGAGCGGGGAGAGGGGAGAGAGAGCGGGAGAGAGAGCGGGAGAGAGAGAGGGGAGAGAGAGCGGGAGAGAGAGAGCGGGGAGGAGAGAGGGGAGAGCTGGGGGAGAGTGAGAGCGGGAGAGAGCGAGAGAGCGATGGAGAGTGGGGAGATAGCGAGAGAGGAGAGAGAGCGGGGAGAGAGCGGGTGAGAGAGTAGCGGGAGATGAGAGCGGGAGAGAGAGCTGAGAGAGAGAGGTAGAGCGGGGAGCGAGAGCGGCGATGCGAGGAAGAGCGGGAGACGATGACGCGGGGAAAGTGGGGGAGAGAGAGGGGGCGAGAGAGCGGAGAGATGAGCGGGAAGCGGAGTGGAGGGAGAGAGAGCGGGAGAGATTGGGGAGAGAGAGCGGGAGATGAGAGCGGGAGGAGAGAGCGGGAGAGAGAGCGGGGAGAGAGAGGGAGAGAGAGGGGAGAGAGAGCGGGAGAGAGAGCGGGAGAGAGTGGGGGAGAGAGAGCGGGAGAGAGAGCGGGAGAGAGCGGGAGAGAGAGCGGGAGAGAGAGCGGGAGAGAGCGGGAGAGAGAGCGGGAGAGAGCGGGAGAGAGAGTGGGAGAGAGAGCGGGAGAGAGAGCAGGAGAGAGAGCGGGAGAGAGGGGGAGAGACAGCGACATGGAGTAGGAAGAGAGGGGGTACAGAGAGAGAGGGGGCAGAGAGGGGGGTAGAGAGAGAGGGAAGCGGTAAGGGGAGCAGAGCGAGAAATATTTTGTTAAATCTTTCATTTAAAAGGGGGGGGGGGGGGAGGGGTTACATGAAGCAAATCATAAAAAAAAATGATGATGAACGAAGCAAAGTGCCGACTACACCGAGCATATTCTTGTTTCCTCTGATCGTAAAAAAAAACAGGGAGCGGGAGAGAGAGCGTGATACACACACACCCCAAATATACAGGTGGCTTCAAAAGAATGTTAACACCTACACGGGACTATTGTTTTCAATAGAAAAAAGAAACGGATAAAGATACAAATGTCATGTTAATAGCTTCGAAAAGTCAAAGGGTCTCCACTCGTTCGCCATCGTTGTCAACGCGTGGCCTGGAATCTTCTCCAGGTGGTCTCCAGAGCCCCGGAGGAGGCACATTTCTCGTGGTGTCGTCGCAAATTCTCAGAAGTGTTCACATTTTTTTGAAGCACCCTGTACAGCAGGCGTCAGGGTCGGCATCTAACCCACGACCTCCTGCATACCAGACGAGGTAGTTAACATCTCCTAGCCCCCGTTATGATGATGATAATGAGAGAGACACGCAAACTCCAAATATACAGGCGTTAGGGTCAGGATCGAACACACGACCTCCTGTATACCAGGCGAGGTAGTTAACATATCCTAGCCCCCGTGGCCCACGCCCCTGTTCCCGAACCTCCAGATAAGCTGACTCCTGAAATCGCGGCACTCGCAAAGGGCACTCGACGGGGATGCAGAGGGGGGGGGGGGGTTGGGGCCCCCCCAGGCCCCCCCACCCCCCACTTGGTGCGGCAACGAACGCATTGTGCCACACCCCACGGTAGTTCAAGTTCATGTATTAGGTATAGCCCTGTGAGCCATTCGGCTCTTGAATCGGGTGCAACCGCAACAAACAAAAAACAAAAACATGAACTCGGAGGGGGCAGGCTCGGACACCCCCCCCCCCTTGGAGTGGGCGGGGGGGGCTCAGACACCCCCCCCTCGGAGGCGGCGGGGGGGGGGGCTCGGTTTTGCCAGCGAGATGTCAGTCACATTTCGTTTTTTCTTCAGTGTAAAGCAACCGAGGATAAGTTTTATTTCGTCTGGGATCTTACGTTATGGAGGGTTTCATGTAGCGCTTTACAAGAATTATAAATGGTACATTAGTGTCGGCTGATGGGGGAAAGGGATGGGGTGGGGAAGGGATGGCAGGGGAGGGTGATGGTAGGGGAGGTGAGGGGCTGGCGAGGTTTTGAAGGTGAAGGTTGTTTGAAGGTTTTAAGGACGAGCGATACGCCGTTGAGCCGAGTCTTAAATGTCCACGTCTGGCTTCGAGAGCCCCGCGTTCGTTGACACGTGGCACGCGCGAGGAAGCTCCGTGAGCCTTCTGACCCGGCGTTAAAATGGAAGGCCTGCCAGCATCCTGCGCGATTAAATTCACCTAATTGCCCGTGGGCTCCACTTTTCAACAAAAGGTACTTTTTAAATGTGCCCCTATCGTCCCCGCCGGTGAGCCAACTCCGCACCGGCATCCTAAGCAAAGTCCGCCCTGACCCGAATCAATGCTGGCGAACTTGGCAGACGCGCGTACGTGCACGCGCGCGTTGGAACTTCTTTCGCGCCGTACGCAGCCAACCGTGCTGATCGGGGGCTGCGGGCGGAAGGACATCAAACTCGAGGCGAGCTGGCGGGAGGCCCCCGAACGCTTCGGGCGCGATTTCGCCTCGCGTTCTGCCCCGGATTGCCACGCATCGATACCGTACCGTACGAACGTACGAACGTACGGTACCGTGCGTTGAACTTCTATCCGCGCCGTACGTAGCCAATCGGTCGGAGGCGGTGGGCGGGCGGTTGCAGTTTCTAAAGCAAGTGTTTTTTTTATTCTTGGATCTTTCGGTAAAGTCACGTAGAAGGGAAATATAAAAATAATAAACATTAAACAATTACATTCTCACGACGTTTCCGCGGCTCTGTTATTCACCTGAGAACGGCTGCTTGTGTTGTGGCCGAAACGTCGTGAGAATTTTATTGTAAAATTTTTATTATTTTATTATTTTCCTTCTACGTGACTTTACCGAAAGAACCAAGAATATAAATCCCTGCAGTCACGAAAGCTTTAAATCGAAATTTAAGTGTTTTTTTATACGCTTTCCTTTAACTCACTCTGTCTGTTGTTGTTGTTGTATCTTCAAATCTTGTAACTCAATTTTAATCCACTTCCCAATGTGGTATCGACTGCAAACTTGGTATACTTATGGCATACTGATGACAACACTATATTCTATCATAAAAAAGAAAATATCCATATTTTTAAACATTCTTTTTTAGATGTTATGTTTCAGCTTGGCTCTAATTGTCCACGCTCAACTGACGTCGCCTGTAATTGGCCACGGTCCCTTACGTTATAGCAAGCTTCGGGGCCACTTCCTGTATTCGTGGGGTTCTTCCATTACTAGTAAAAAAAAAATATTACCTATTCGTAATCATTGATAATCAACGTTTTTGGGTTTAGATCGCGTTATTTATAAATGTGTCGTAACCCTCCACCACCCGACACGGCCAATCAGTAAAAAAGTGTCACGTTGACAAAAGACAATTAGTTCACTGCTTTAGCCCACCGGTGTGTTGAAGCGTGAAACCACAACATTTACAATTTGAGTAGTACGACGTTTCGCTGGTAATTGCATCCAGCATCATCGCACATTTAACAACGTGGGGTTAGGGGGCCTGCCCCCCGACTCGCTACTCCGTCCACCCAGCGACGGCGCCAAGAGGCCGAACGGCGCCGGCGATCCCGGCCGGCCACGAACGTCGTCGAGCGGTGGTTGGGGGCCCGAGGAATGTCACGCCGGAGGAGTTCTCCTCACCTCCCATCTGCACGATGAAGTAAGAAGCCTGCAGGGCCAGGCTCCATCGGATGATGGCCTTGTCTGCCGTGTAGAAGGCGTTCCACAGCACCAGCGAGATGCCTGCAGCGAAGGGGGGGGGGGGGACGAGAGTGGAAAGGCAAGCGGCAGCCAATGCTGTGACCGTGGATTTGCGTACGCACATGTACACACATGTCTGTACATGTGCGTGGGGAGAGGTAGTGTAGCGGTTAGCGCGCTGCGCTACGCACCCGGCGACCCGAGTTCGATTCCCGCTCACGGCCAACGCCAGTGCGACGATTATCTGAACCGGTCCTGGGCCTCCCCTAGGTCGACTCAGCCTCAAATTAGTACCTGGTGCGGTGTGTAAACATCGCCACTGGGGAGACAAAGGCGGCCGAGCGTGGTGCTGGCCACCCACCCCCTCGTGCGCCGTGCCGGCCTTCATAGGTGCTCACTAACAGCACTTGCCCCAACAGTCTGTTAAGCTATACGAGGGATCTTTGTCTTTGTCTGCATATGTACACGTATGCACCGTATGTACACGTATGCACCGTGTGTTTGTGTGTGTGGGGCACGGTAGCACAGTGGTCAGCGCGCTGCGCTACGAAACCCGGCGACCCGAGTTCGATTCCCGCTCAAGGCCAACAACAGCGGCGAATATTTGAACCGGTCCTGGGGTCTCCCCTAGGTCGACTCAGCCTCAAGCGAGTGCCTCGTGCGATGTGTAAACGAAGGCGAAAGGCGAGTGGTGCTGACCACGTGCCGGCCTTCATAGGCGCTGCTACTCGCTGACAGCACTTCCCAGAAACAGTCCGTTGAAGGCTACACGGGAGATCTTTTAACGCGCGTGTGTGTGTGTATGTGTGTGTGGAAACATTTAGGCTGGCCTGCCTACGATCCATCCTGGGTTTAACCAGGCTGGATTGTGTGAGGAGCTCACAAATCCTTGAAAGATCTGGGCAAAGTCCCATCAGTGAGCTCCTCCGGCAGGCAAGGCTGCGTTGGCTGGGTCATGTAGCCCGCATGCCCAGCCACCGCATGCCTAAACAGCTTTTGTTCGGCCGGATCGAGGGGGCTAGACGGGCGCGGCACGGGCTGGAGAAGAGATGGAGTGATGTGGTACAGGAGGACGTGGAGCTGAGTGGACTTGCCGATGACTGGTACCAGCGGTGTCAAGATCGGCCTCTGTGGAGGAGGCTCGTGAAGGAAGCTACTGGGCAGTTGGAGGCAGTCGACCCTCCAACAACAACGGAGGGCGGAGGAGCGACGCTCACAACAACGAGCGGAGCGCCGGGTGGCTAAAGCACAGCAAGTTGGCACAGTAGGGGGCACAGGTGGTGCATCAGCCAGTCATCTCGGTCATCTCGGTCAGTCGACCCGTGGCACCTGGGTCTGCCCCGTGACCTCCTGCCAGCGGGCTTTCGACACTTCACGTGGCCTCAAGGTGCACTTGGCCTGGCACAAGCATCGTGGTGACGTCACCGCCACTTAGTGGCGAATGGCGGTTGTTGTTGTTGTTGTTGTATGTGTGTGTGTATGTGTGTGTGTATATGTAGGGGGCACAGGTGGTGCATCAGCCAGTCATCTCAATCATCTCAGTCAGTCGACCCGTGGCACCTGGGTCTGCCCCGTGACCTCCTGCCAGCGGGCGTTCGACACTTCACGTGACCTCAATGTGCACATGGCCTGGCACAAGTGTCGTGGTGACGTCACCGCCACTTAGTGGCGAATGGCGGTTGTTGTTGTTATTGTTGTGTATGTGTGTGTGTGTGTATGCGTGTGTATATGTGTGACTTACACAGCAAAGTTCCTCCGTACAGCCTCATGGACAGAGAGCCCTGAGTGCTCCTTTCCTCGAACAGCACCTCGTAAAGCTTGTCCGGAATTACCAGCGCCTGAAAAACGCAACCCCCCCCCCCCTCACTCACATCATCGTCGTCTGGTTCCGCAGTTACATCACTCCACATCAGTCCCCGCCCGCTAGGCGGTTGCCCACACTGGCTGCAGGGAACTTTCGGAAGGCTCAGAACACATTCAAAGGATTCCCCAAACTCAGGCGGCGGCGGTGCGTTCCGGTTTTTACCGAGTATTTTGTTTAGCAGAATATTTTGATTAAAACGGGAATGGCTCAAAACCGCGAGATGGATTTGAACATTTTGAATCACGGTTTGCTTTGGACCAGGTGACACACACTAATTCAAGTTTGCTTTGATTCTTTCAGTTGCGTTGAGTTTTGAGATTAACCGATTTGATGTGTCGGAATCAGAGTCTTTATTTCTCCCGGAGGTGGAATCCGATGAGCCATGAAGCTCTTCCTCTAAAAGATGCCCAGATGGGGGGCACGTGGGTCAGAAAAGTTACAACGACAAACGATACAAAAACACGAGAGGCGTGCAAAGTGTAGGAACCAAGTGAGAATTCAATGAGACCGGGGTGGTTCTCATTTGCACGGGAACTGGGTTCCACAAAGACTCTGCAAAAGGACGTTTTTGCCAAATTCTATTTTGGGTTCTTCTTTTTCTTAATCTGCTTCTTCTTCCGTATGGCTGATTGTAGATACAGAGCAACAACCACAATTGCACGTTCAAGTGGCTCAAGCCAGATAATTAACCGCATCAGGAGCAGCGGAGTGCATCATCATCATCGGCGTGGTATCTCATTCGTATTTGCGGATCTGGCATTATTGCGTCGTTTCATTTGCGCATCAGGTATCTGCATCTGCCATGATGCGGTTTAGGGTGGACCGTTAACTTTGCAGAAGATCAAATCCAGGGATCTTGTGCGTTGTGTCTTTCACGAGGTGTTTTGTTCGTGAGTTCGTTTGTGTGTGGGAGGAAACAGCGTGGCCTGGTCTAGGGCTTGCGTGCAAGGAGAGAATACTCAAATTTCACAAACTTACTGCATGGCAACATGAAGGTAACTAGTTTGCCGAGATCATCACGGTTCCCTCGCTGTGTGATCCACCAATCCTGCCTCCAAGTTGCCGGGTTAACCAGGACATTTTCTAGGCCCCGCGTTAATCGCGGCCAAGAGATGGGACAGGTGTGATGCTCTGCCACTCTGTCCTGATCCCAGGCCCGAATTCAACAATACAAGCCAGTCGTGCGTAGTGCCTGGATGTAGTTTCTCCTCATCATCAAACAATATCCAATGGGTAAATTCGATTGCAAGAATTCTTCTCAAACTCACCGTTGAGCTTAAAATTATGACAATAATCGGCACGTTAAACGCTTGTACTGGACATGCCACGATTGGATTCACGTGGATATGAACTATTTTAACTTTTACTATCACAGACGAGGCCCACTGAGCTACATAGCAATTTTTATGCAGAAGCGACCTGGCCACAAATCATAGCTCAACGAAGTGGCTTATCATCATGTGGAAATTTATAGCAGCCAAATACTCTAAAGGCACGTTGATTCTAACTGTGGAGGGAAAAACCGGAGGAGCCGGATAAAAATCCACGTAACCACGGACATGCAAACTCTAAATAAATAGCAGCCGTCAGGGTTGGGATTGAACCCACGACCTCCTGCATACCAGGCAAGGGAGTTAACATCTCCTAGCCACCGCGGTGGCCCATGTTGGGTGGTGGAGGGTTCTTAACGACACAAATGTGCCCAAATATAAATAGGTTGCCTAACACCAAAACAATCAATACATGAATCGGATTGTTCCAGATGTTCTATCCAATAACCCAATCGTTCGCAGAACGAAGAGATCATTGCACGCTGTTTCTGCGCAAAGGGGGAAAAGTGAATATTTCCGCCGAAATCACTTTCTCAAAGACACCGAAAATCGAAAACTCACCATGCCCGCGATGACTGTGAACATCGTGGCCGACACGAGTTGCCACAACCTGCGGTGGGGGCAGAGGTGCGTCACAACGGGGTATCGTTAAAACGGACAATCTGCAAGGAAATGGCTCAAAACTACGAGGTGGATTTAAACACATTCCTGCGGAGGGAGCTGGTAGGAACGTTGGGTTGCTCGGTCAATGGCCTGCAGGGTCAACGGCGGCGTGGTGTATTCCGCAAATATGCCCGACTGTGAGGGCAGGCACAAGCTGGCGTGAGTAGGTTAAACGTTGAGTTTTATAAGGGCACCACTGGGTGACCAGCCCTTCCCCACCCAGCCCCACCCCTCCCACCCCCCACCCAGCCCCACCCTCCCCACCCAGCCGCTCCCTTCCCCACCCAGTCCCTCCCCACCCTCCCCACCCAGCCCCTCCCCACCCTCCCCTCTCCACCCAGCCCCACCCCTCCCATGTTTGGATGCACGACGGACGGACAAACAAAATAATCTTCTGTGGGCTGGTGGAACCAGGTGGTTCCTACCAGTTAATTTGTAAAAACAAGGTTTGCTCTGCACAGACCCCCCTCAACTCCAAAGGCCAAAACATTTTCTTAGTCAATATCAATGTTTATGGTCCAGGTGATATCCGCTCATTAAAAGTTTTCTTTCAGACGCGTTGAATTTTGAGGTTATTCGATTCGATGTGCCAGAATGTTTATTTTTTACTGCAGGAGGAATCCGATGAGCTATGACGCTCTTCTTTCACAGATATCCAGCAGGGACACGGGGTCAGAACGTTACAGCAGCAACAAGCAGCGACAAAAAACACGATATGAGTGCAAAGTAGAGGATAGGAAAGGTAAGCAAGTCACAAAACAATCACAAAAACTAAACCATTTTTTCTTATTTTACCAGGCAAAGCCCACTGAGCTATTAGCTTCTTTTTCAGAAGCGACCTCGCCACATGATTGCCCAACGAATAAATATTCAATTGGAATCGACAACAGGGAGTGCTGGTGCACAGCGATGATCCAGTGATTCGGAGGCAAAGAGGAAACTGTGGAGGGTATTTGGCCTACTCGTCCACGTTGACCTGACGTATTGGAAGGGGGTGAGCGCACTCTCACTCTGCCCCCCCCCCCCCGCCGCACACGCGAGCCGCCAAATGAACTGTGGTGAACACGTTAATCCCGTCGTTTAGACATTCCCGTTCGTTTAGACGTTCCCGTTAGTTTAGACGGTCCCGTTAGTTTAGACGTTCCCGGAGATGGAATCGAATCCCGGCGCTTAACCAGTTCGACACATAACAAGAGTCCAGTACAAGGCACAGCCTGCAACAAGGAGGAGGGGGGGGGGGCAGGGGGAGGTGATTACAAAAAACTCCGCGGACTGAGGCCCTGGCCTCAATACTCCTGGGTCCGTAGATGGGGCACAGGGGAGTGCGTTAACGGACCGTGCGTCACACGACGCAAGGTCATTCCGACCGCACGCCGCGCGATCAAGAATTGCCACGGGTGCCGTCGCTGTGCGAAGGTGTCGCACGGCGGGAACATAAGTGTTCGGTCGCGTTGAGGTTCGTGTGAATGAGAGCGCGCGTGCGTGTGTGTGCGTGCGTGTGTGTGTGCGGCGGTGAACGAGAGACGTGTGTCAACTTGCCTGAGCCCCAGAGGTTCCCGTAGGCCAAACTTTGACTCGTTCCCCAACACCTGGCTTATCTGAGGGAGCGGGAATGCAAAGAGGGGGGGGGGGGGGGGAAAGCAACAACAACAAAATCTGAAAATTGAAATCAACGTGCGACAAGTTAACATTTTTCTTTTGAAGGCTGGCCGCAACCACGAAGACAAGTCCACGGAACGCTCGATACGGAATCGCGATCCTGCGCCGCCAGTGGCGCACAAGCACGAAGAATGACGATAAATAATAAAGAGTAATAATAATGACACCACAGAATGCGACACGTTCGACAGAAACGCCGCCCCAAATGGATGCGCATCTACTGTGGCGGGCGTCGCTTCGGGGCATTGGCCCTTCGGCATGGTGGGTGACATCGCCCCAAGCGTTGCCGATTACATTTGAGCCATTTCTGTTCTTGCGCGGTGAGAGGGGTGCGGCGAATCGTGCAAAACGTAAGCGCAAGACACAATGTAAACACACGAAGAAGGGGAGGCGCACACAACGTCCCAGGGGGCAGAGGAGGCAACACAAAACGCCAAAAACACGCACCGGATCGATGACACTTCCTACAATTTATTCTAACCGTTGATTACACTGGTCAACACACTTTTTCTGGCATAAGCTATTCCAACGGTTATAAGGTAACTTTGGGGTGCTGATTCCAAATCTGGCATCAGTTTTTGTCTATCACATCTTTTGAGATATCAAATATTGCATTTTCAATAAAAACTGCAGAAAAAATATATAAAATAAATGTGGATATCTACATAAAATGATATTATAAACACACTATCCTAAAAATACAGCACCATATTTTAACACTAAAGCAGTCACTGACTCGCAACAACTTGCAATCATAAGTGACAGAGTTAATTTCGGGTAAAATCAATGAAAATGGGGTATGCCGATAGTATAAAAATGAGATGTGATAGAGCAAATCTGAGATCAGATTTGGAATCAGCACCCTGAAATTAGTCTAAAACAGCTGCAAAAGTCCAGGCCAGAAAAAAAATGTTTTTTTTTGTTGACCAGTGTTATCCGAGTGGTTACTGAGAAATAATTAGACACGACTGGTGGGTCGCCACTGTGTGTAATCCAACCACCATCCTACAGGTACGCAATATTCCGTCGTGCTATCTGTTGCTTGTATTCGCACCGGATGGGCTCACAGTGATGACATCACCTTTAATCAGAATCAGAGAGGGTTTTATTCGCCATGAAAGTTCGCACAGACAAGGAATTTACTTTGGCCGGAAGGTGCATACGTTCAACATTTAGGAATCTTAAATCTTAAATAAGTGGTCTACAAGTCTAACTATACTAAAGGTACAAGTCTAACTAATACTAAGGAGCTAAAGTATGTAAAAAATTGAATAAAATAAAATCTAAAATATACAATAGCTATAATATACAATATAAAATTATAAAAATTAAAATAGGTTAACATAGTGGAAATATATTTACTCTGTTTAAAGACCGAAACAGAATGGACTTTTCTTCAAAATAATGGCTAAATCGCCTGACAAAGCTGGTTGTTGTATTCACCAGCGAAACGTCGTGCTCCAATTGTAAATGCTGTGGGGTTACTCTCCAACGCACCGGTGAGCTGAAGTAGTCACTAATTGGCACGTTTTGTTTACGTGACAAACCTTGCTATTTCGACACGATCTAACCCCCCCCCCCCCAAAAAAAAACCCTCTATTATACTCTAGAGAATAGCTGTTGCTGAAAATGTACTTCGGTTTTTGTGGTTGGTGTTGTTGTTGTTGCCGGCTACTAATACGACGGCGGTGCTGGTGGTTGTCACTGAAGTATTTCCAGCCTGTGGTGCCTTCATTGTGCCCTTCATCAACGAACGACGGCGCGGCCTGCAGCTTGCGGACAGCCGGGGACACGGTCTTAGGACAAACAACACAAACACACACACACAAAAAACCCCACCATGCTACTGGGTTTCACAACCGCTCTCATCTCTGGGTTGAAATTACGGCTCATTGAAAACACGTTCGATTTTTTTTTTGCCGTGCTGCACTCAAAATCCTTTAATTCAACGGGCTATTTACACTTCAGAGAGCGGTACGCACGTGGGCGGGCGGGCGGGCGGGCAGGCACCTGCGTGCGTGCGTGTCGGGGGTCCACGTGCACTCGTCTATTGAGCGAGGCCGTGAATAGGCGACGTTCATGGAACGGACGGAAACCCGTTCTAGCGGAGCCGTGGAGGTCGTGGAGGGTGAGGACGTGGAGGTGTGGTGAGGACGTGGAGGGTGAGGACGTGGAGGTAGTGGTGAGGACGTGGAGGTAGTGGTGAGGCTGGGGTGAGGACGTGGAGGTAGTGGTGAGGACGTGGAGGTGGGGTGAGGACGTGGAGGTAGTGGTGAGGACGTGGAGGTATGGTGAGGAGACGTAGGTTGAGGACGTGGAGGGTGGTGAGGACGTGGAGGTAGTGGTGAGGACGTGGAGGTAGTGGTGAGGACGTGGAGGTGGTGGTGAGGACGTGGAGGTAGTGGTGAGGACGTGGAGGTAGTGGTGAGGACGTGGAGGTAGTGGAGGACGTGGAGGTAGTGGTGAGGACGTGAGAGTGTGTGAGGACGTGGAGGTAGTGGTGAGGACGTGGAGGTAGTGGTGAGGACGTGGGGTAGTGGTGAGGACGTGGAGGTAGTGGTGAGGACGTGGAGGTAATGGTGATGGGACGTGGAGTAGTGGTGAGAACGTGGAGGGTGAGGACTGGAGGTCGTGGTGAGGACGTGGAGGTGGTGGTGAGGACGTGGAGGTAGTGGTGAGGACGTGGAGGTAGTGGTGAGGACGTGGAGGTAGTGGTGAGGACGTGGAGGGTGAGGACGTGGAGGTGGTGGTGAGGACGTGGAGGTAGTGGTGAGGACGTGGAGGTAGTGGTGAGGATGTGGAGGTAGTGGTGAGGACGTGGAGGTAGTGGTGAGGACGTGGAGGTAGTGGTGAGGACGTGGAGGTAGTGGTGAGGACGTGGAGGTAGTGGTGAGGACGTGGAGGTAGTGGTGAGGACGTGGAGGTAGTGGTGAGGACGTGGAGGTAGTGGTGAGGACGTGGAGGTAGTGGTGAGGACGTGGAGGTAGTGGTGAGGACGTGGAGGTAGTGGTGAGGACGTGGAGGTAGTGGTGAGGACGTGGAGGTAGTGGTGAGGACGTGGAGGTAGTGGTGAGGACGTGGAGGTAGTGGTGAGGACGTGGAGGTAGTGGTGAGGACGTGGAGGTAGTGGTGAGGACGTGGAGGTAGTGGTGAGGACGTGGAGGTAGTGGTGAGGACGTGGAGGTAGTGGTGAGAACGTGGAGGGTGAGGACGTGGAGGTCGTGGTGAGGACGTGGAGGTCGTGGTGAGGACTTGGGAGAGTGAGGATGTGGAGGGTGAGGATTTGAAATCAAAGTTAAACAATAAATTCCCTGCAGCTTGGACAGAATTGTTTTTCGACTGACCACAGTATAATTACACCACCGCTGTCGGCTCGTGGAGGGCCTTAACAACACATGCGGCCCAACCCGACGATTGATCACGAATCATACTATTGGCTGCATTTCATTCCCTGAACGTGAACGCAGTGAATCTATGAACAGGAAGCGAAGCATCAATCTGAAAACTAAAAGCCCCCCCAAAAAAAACCAACTGACAACGGTCAAAATAAACGCGAGGCCCCCCTTTTTTTTCTCCTTCAAAAAATGGAAATAATAAAATGAAATGTTCCCCAGTTTCGCTGCCGCATGGAGCAACAAACGGAGAAGTCGCCGATCCTTTGAAGTGCCCTTTGATCCAATCCCCCCCACTCGATGCCTCACCGCGTTCTTTCCCACTCACATGGGGGATGTACGCACCCCGCGTTCGGGACTGCACGAGCCCGCTAACGGGAACGTAACAATCCTTGCATTGAAATCTACGTTGCGACCGTGGTGGAACGAAAACGTCTCAAAGGGGACATTTTGCTGTTGTTGTTGTTGTTGTTTGGCCTAGGGGACCCACCGAGAGCACGCTTGTCGCTCGATGTTTCCCACAAAGTAAACGCGGAGCTGGCCTGCAACTGGGCATTTCTGTTGTCCTTCCCACACGCCCCTCCGCACCTTTCACAGATGTTCAGCGTGGGCGGATCAGCAAGTTACAACAGCAAAAGAAAACATCAACGACGACACCAGAAAAAAAAAACGTTGGGAGTGCAAAATTGAGAAAAAGCTAAGCAAATCACTGAAATCTAAATACGTAATACGTTAATGCTATGAATCCGATTCATCAAGTTGAGGCAAGGCAGCAAACAACAATAACGAAAAACAGTCACAGACCACACCAAGATAACGCCACGCAGACAGTCCCACAATAACGTGGCACGTGATGGCAAAGTCATCGATGCGAGTGAACGACATAAGCGGTGCAAAACTTTTGAGAAAAAAAACCCGAAACAGGTCACGAAAATAAACGACGAGCGCGTCGCTTCGACGCGTCCCATCCATCGAGCTAGGCCACAGGCCTTGCTCACTTGCCTGTCTCTGTGCCCTCAACTGGCTCCCCATCGCCAGCAGGGTCACATACAAGATCGCCTGCCTCTGCCACCATGCCTTCACATCTGCCTGCCCGCCGTACCTTTTTTCATTATTGACAACTTAGAGCCTCAGCACACGGCAGATGCCTGCTCAGCGCGACTCACGACCTACTCTTGATACCAAGATCCAGGATGGTCACGTCTATGCGCCGCTTCTCGGTGGCAGCCCCAACAGTCTGGAACGCCGTCACCCCTCTGCACATTCGCAGCATCACCTCAATCGCCTCCTTCAAGAAACACTTAAAAACTCACCTCTATAACCACGTGCTTTCCAGTGACTCTGAGCTTGGCCCCGCGCCTCTGAGTTGCGGCCGTTACGTCCGCAAATTTTTCTCGCTTTATGAATTGCATTATTATTATTATCGGCACGCACGCATGTTGAACTTCTTTCGCGCCGTACAATAGCCAAACCCGTGCTTGACCCCGGGGGAGCTGGGGTCGCTCGCCGAGTCCCGTCCCCGCTCACCTTGGAGCGGTGTGCCTCTCCCTCGTCATCCTCGCCGCCGACGCCCAACACCTTGCGTGTCTTGAGGCGGCTCAGCAGGTCCGTCTGGCTGTTCTTCTTGAGCAGGGGGCACGGCGCCTTGGGGGGCGTGGGGCTCGAGCCCGTCGCCTCGATGCAGCCTCCTCCGCCATTGCTGTCCGAGTCGGCCATCCTGGTGGTGGTGGTGGCGGAAGGAAGGAAGATGGGGAAGCATTGGGACGAGACGCGGGTCGTTAATGACAAAAGTTAAAATGAATGCGGTTGATGATAAGGATGGTGGCGACGGTGCAATTTCGTAAACGCGCGCGCAAATATGTCGCGGGCGTAAAATGACCGCGACGCCGAGGCACGGCGAGCCGAGGCCGCTGGTCCCTCGAAAGCCACGGCGAGAGAGGTCGTGGGGGCCTTCAAGCATCTCCTGGAAGGCAGTGGGTGTGGCTGAAACGCCGCTATTAATGTGCCTCGGGGTGATGAAGGCTGCGTTCCAGGTGGAGGTAGCGTCCACCCTGGATGAAACCCTTCACGTAAATGCCCTCTGTTGTCATAGGCAACACCTTCCTACTTATTTCATATTCCGTGGATGGTTCAATGCACGTTGGGTTTTTTTTTTTGCTCTCAACATAATCATATTCTCCATCATAATACGATGGTACCACCTCCGACGACATTTTTCTCATAAGCAGCTACCAGTGTGAGCTTGCTACCGCACATATTTGTGATCTTGAGATGAAATATTTTCATAAAACCGTTGTTAGCAATTGCCACCCTGGGTGATACCGGCAAGCCATTGTTGTTGGGCCCATGGCTGAAGGATCACATATGGTATATTGTACAGGAATATAGCTTTTTCCCCTTAACTCTGGCCAATCTTTTTTTAAACTAATCTCCCGCTCCACACAGTTTTCTGCAGCATGTCGGCCACCTTCTTTCGACCAAAAGCACTTTTTTGTTGCCGAAGAGGACAATTTTCACACACAGTCATGCCAATATAGATATTACAGGCCATAATCAAATGATAATACGTAGCAAGAAAGAAAAAAACCCCAAGAATCCCAGCATTTACTTTGCATGTCAAGACAACCTCACCACTCGCATTTGCACCCACACGACCTTGCGACAAAGCCTTTAATTTAGGCAGCAGACTGTCGGACAGGACGGGTCTTCAAGGCTTTCAAGGTGGCACGCAAAAAAATATAACAATGCAACCTCATACCTGTCAACCTATACGGTTGAAGGAAATTAAGTTGAGTTTTCAGGTCCACACGGCGTACGGCCGTTTCATTTCGGGCAAAAAAATGTTTTCTCCATTTGTTTGTGTTTCTCCCTTGTGGTGGGATTTTGTAGGGATGAACGTTGAGATTTAAAAGGGGGCACGGGGTGACCAAAGATTTTAAGGTTTTCTTGCTGTGCTTTTCACACCTGATGATGATTGCTTGTGTTGCAGTCGAATAGACGTGAGATTTTTATTGTTTTATATTTTTATTATTTTATTGTTTCCCTTCTACGTGACTTTACCGAATGAACCAAGAATATAGTTTTACATTTGTTTACTATATGAAATTTCCTGAAATAATCTTAGCTAATAGACAAAACAAAATGTCCTACTTGTAAAAAAAGTTACTGTATTGACTGTTCCATACTTAACGACTCCAATCTCGAAGACTCTGCATGGGGTGATGTACCAAGTCCTACTGCCGCTCTTGTTTCAACACAACCACGTGTTTGACGATCGCCGGACTGGTTTACAGCCTTTGGAGCGGGTTTTCCGGTTTCGGAACCTGCTAGATAACACTGTGTAAAAGAAAAAAATTGTTCCTGGGTAGTAAGTGTTATTTCCTAATTGTTTATGCCTCAAAAGTATAGAAAATGGCTATTATTCTCCACAAACTTTGCTTTTGTGACCAGAACATTGATATTTTGAAATGTACCTATTTTCCAGAAGATTCCAGATAGATTCAGTGCTGAGTAAACTTGGAGCAACTTCTAGAACATTCTAGAACTTTCCAGTAATATAAATAGTAGTATAAATACAGGGGCCTTAAGCCCACCAGTTCAGTTTAGTTCCAGCTGCCTCAGTGGGTCGATTATAATCGATGATCACATGTAATGGTCACAATGCAATTCGTAACCAGGACAATATAATCCGCAGACACACAGATGACCGTAGAAAAGTCTTGAGACGTGGAGGCAAAGCTCAGCGTCGCTCGAAAGTCGGGCGAAAGAAGTCGGGGAACTTGAAGATGTCTCTATAAAAGTCCGTGTGGGCTGAATGCTGCTCCCGCTGCTTCTGCTGCTATTGCTGCTGTGAATGTTCAGCAGCAGCGGGATTATGGTGATGACGATGGTTGCGTTCCAGACGGCGGAGTGCTGCCCTATGAAAACGACGCCGGGCACTGACCACAGCCCTGCTCCTTGGTATAGAGAGGAGAAGGATGAGTCTGTGAGTCGTTCTGCTGCTACTGCAACTCTGGAGGAGAGTTCCACCGTGAGCTGTCGTGCAGGGCAACCAGAATGACTCTGGAGAGATACGGGGGCTGCGACAGAGAAATGATGCCTGACAGTGCCGGCTCTGCTCCTTCGTGTAGAGAGGAGAAGGATGAGTCTGTGAGTCGCTCTGCTGCTACTGCAACTCTGGAGGAGAGTTCCACCGTGAGCTGTCGTGCAGGACAAACAGAATGAAGAGAGATACGCGGACTGCCACAGAAAAAAGCGATGCCTGGCGGTGCCGGCCCTGCTCACAAGTGTAAAGATGAGGAGGCTGCGAATCGCTCTGCAGCTGCTGTGGAGAGTTCGACCCTGAGCTGTGGTGCAGGATGCAAAGCGTGCTGTTGGAGATACCTTCCCGCAAATAAAACGATTCGTTTTTCCAAGCCCGCGTGTATTATTTTGTTGGCAGATGAATTCCCCCGTTGGGTAAATGGTTTAAAATTTGGTTTTAACACCGATGGGTCCCCACAGTGTAAGAGAAGAGGCCTGCTCAAATATAGGATATTCAGGCACAAAACACTACACGAGGAAATAAACTAAAAACCAAAAACAAATTTGTCGGTTTCAAGGCACGCGTTAACTCTTAATCCATTCAAAATAAAACTTTAATTGTGCCGTTTGTTGGCATTTTGGGCCGTCGGGCCTGTACTTAGCAAACGTAAAAAATATATAAAATATACACAAATCTCTATCATGGGACCTTGTTAGCCAGTATCGAAGTGCGAAAAATTAGAATAGGTTTTACGCTTTCTGGCAATACAACTCGAGGTGTTAAGATATTCAAACACCAAACAGAAACCTTTTTGCAAGGAGTTAAGTCTGCATCAACCACACAGAGTGCTTGTGGTGAACATGCAGACCAACAGAAGGAAGAGTGTTCCAGACGGCCGGAGCAGCGCGTCTGAAAGAGCGCGATGCGGTGACGTCTTTTGTTTCACGAGAGGCGATGACTCTCCTACACAGTTCTAGATTTGAAGCTTTCGTGACTGCAAAGATTCATACTCTTAGTTCTTTCGGTAAAGTCACGTAGGTAAAAAATGAAATTAAACTTAATAAAAATAAAATAATAAAATCACGACGTTTCGGAGGCAACACAAGCCTCCGTCATCAGGTGGGACCGTCACAGCCAGATTTGCATCACTTGATGCAGCAAATCTGTGCGGTGACGGTCCCACCTGATGACGGAGGCTTGTGTTGCCTCCGAAACGTCGTGATTTTATAATTTTATTTTTATTAATTAAAATTTAATTTTTTTCTCCAACACAGCTCGAATGCTCTAACGATGGAGCAGGTTTCTATTGCTCTTTGGTTCTTTCGGTTAAGTCACGTAGATTTTTTTTAAATAATAGCATACAACGTTTCGATTGCACCACAAGCAATCATCATCATCAGGTACAAATGAAAGAGAAAACAAACCTAGTAAACGTAGAAATATAATGCAATACAACACAGAGAGTCGGCTAACATAACAGTCAACACCCTATCTAGTTGATTAACGTTCTTCCAAAGATTGCTAAATTTGAGAGAGACAAAACACAGACACGGAGACACATAGACAAACACATAAGCAGAGAGAGATAACACAGAGACACACAGAAAGATACACACATAGACACACAGACACACACAAGCAGAGGGAGACACACAGAGACACACAGAGAGAGAGACACACATAGACACACAGACATACATAAGCAGAGAGAGATAACACAGAGACACACAGAAAGATACACACATAGATACACAGACACACACAAGCAGAGCGAGACACAGAGACACACAGAGAGAGACACACACATAGACACACAGACAGACACATAAGCAGAGAGAGATAACACAGAGACACACAGAAAGAGACACGCACATAGGCACACAGAGAAACAACGCCTCTGTGTCGAGGCCTTAAATAGAGAGAGAGGGGGGCAGAGAGGTTTCTATTGCTCGTACTATGAATCAGGTTTCTCAAATCGCACCCAGCGGCAAAATGGGTCCACCCAAGTTAAAACGACCAGCAAAGTCGCGTGTGGTGGAATAAAGTGTGGGTACGCACCAACCCTTAACAACGCGTCCTGTCCACGTAAAAAGAAGAGGAGACCAATGATAACAGGGGTTTTCCCCCTTTTTGCTGGCAACAAAACTGAAACCTTTTTACAAGGAATTATGTCTGTATTAACCACAATACTAAGTGGTCAAAATGCAAACAAAAACATACTCTGATAATATATGCATTGCCCTTGAAACTGATTGGTCCACACCAGAGACGGCTTTCTTTTGAGCCTCGTCTCAATTGGTGCTAGACCAGAGGACACCAAAAGGCGTACAGCTCAAAGACAATGTCACTATCAAAGTAATGAGGGCTTGGGGTGAGCATCTACATCATTAGACCTCCTTTGCCAGTACCAAAATATAATAGGGGTTTTCCCCTTTTTTCTGGCCACAAAACTGAAACCTTTTTACAAGGAATAATGTGTGCATTAACCACAATACTTGTAGTCAAAATGCAAACTAAAAACACACTCTCTCCCTGTGGTTGCATAGATTTTTCTCTGGGTTCTCCCGATCCCCCCCCCCCCACACACATTTAGAATCAACATGCGTTTATACTTTTTGGCTGATATAAATGTGTACGTGTTAAGCCACTTCGTTGAGCTTTAATTTGTGGCCAGGTCGCTTCTGAAAAAGATG